CACTCCTCTCCCAGTTCCCCACTCCCCTCCCAGGTCCCCACGCCCCCCAGGCTCCCCCCCCACTCCCCTCCCAGGTCACCAAGCACCCCACCCCCCCGCCACGCGCTCACCGGGGCCCAGTGGGCGGTGCACCAGCACGCGGCAGGCGGGGTGTCGGCGCAGCAGGTTGCAGATGAAGGGCAGCACCATGAGCAAGGCCTCGGGGGGCGCCGTCAGCGCCAGACGGGACAAGCGCTTGGCGAAGGCAGCCACCAGGTAGGCGGGCAGATGGCTGGGCGGGATGGTGAACATGAGTGACCCCCAGTCGCCCAGACTCCCGGCCCCTGCTCTGAGTCTAAGCCCCTCCGAGTCCCCTCTCCGGCACTCACGAGGACGACAGGAAGAGGTCGGCCAGGTGGAAAAACCGGGCCCGATACTTGACGTGGAAGACAGACGGGTCCAGGAGACCGTAGAGTTTCCGGTAGAAATCAGGGTACTCGCTGGGAGTGCAGGGGTGAGGAGTGGCACGCAAGCCAGGGGGGCGGGGGGGGGGGGACACGGAGTGAAAACACGGATCACGGCTCCCAAGGGTCCTGTCATGCCCCAACTTCCCCTAGGGCAGCCCAGCAGACCCCCAGCCCGGGACAGGGAGAGGACACAGGAGGGGCAGACGCGCACGGCTGGACCCACAGGCAGGCGTCCTAGATCGACACTCACAGGTTGTGCTTGTGAATCAGGATGAAAAGTCCATTCAAGGCCAACAGGCTGATGGCGCCCCCTGCAGACGAACGTGCGGCTGAGAAGCCCCAACGAGGCCTGCTCCCCCCCACCCCTGCCGGTGAGTTCAACAGAGCAGGAGGCCCCCCGGCTCCGTCCCGCCAGGGAGGGAACTCGGGGCTCCGGCATGCACCAGGCCCTGACGACGGCTCCTCCAGCCCCAGTTCCGGGAGCCCAGCCGGCTGGGAGGGGAGCCCGGCACTCACCCGCGTCGTAGGCACGGGTAAGGAAGTCGATCATGAGGGTGGGCTGGGCCAGGTGGGGCAGGATGGCATCGTGCACGATCACCAGCACCTTCTTGTACAGGCTGAGGGGCAGCTGGCGGGAGACAGCAGCGGTGGGTGCGCCCGCCTCACCCCAAGACCCACGTGGGCCAGAGCAGCCCAGACCCGGGGGACCTGCCCCCCACCCCGCCAGTACCTTGTGCTTGAGAAAACCCAGCCACATCAGCTGGAAGGCCTTCTTGTGCTCCTGCGGGGGGGGGGGGGGTGCCGTCAGGGCCGCACGCAAGGCCCCCACCCCAGCCCCCGGAGCCCGGAAGGGGAAACGGCACTCACGGCCTCCCTTCCGCCCTGCGTAAGAACTAGAAACCCAGAACTGGAGAAGTTCCAGCAAAGCGAGAAGGAACGCGCACCCAGAACACGGCCACAGAGCAGCCGGGGAGCAGCGCACCCAGGGCCGCACGCGGCATCGACACCGGCACCCGGGAGCCCGCTAAGAGCCTGGGAGCCAGGTCCCGGCGGCTCCACCCCACCCCCGTCCCCGTGAAGGAGCCTCGAGGCTGTCTGAGCCGGAAAACTCTGGGTCCCACACGTGCTGCCTACGCGTGGAGAGGGCCCTGTCCCCAGCGCGCCCCCCGGAGCGTCTCACCTTCAGATGAGCGACCTTCCACTTGTGCGACAGCTCTGTAGGGAAGGCAGGGGTCAGAGGGCGTGCGGGAAAGAGGCGGCGGCTCGCTGGGTGCCCCCGCCTGCCCCCCCGCGCCCCCCGACGCTCACCAGCGTGTTTCACGTAGAAGCCGGAGGAGCTGATCTCCTGGCAAGGGAGGCTCACGGCAGACAGCAGCGCGAAGGCGTTGTTCCAGAAAGGAGGCGGCACCTGCCGAAAGCCTGGCATCAGCTCGGGCGCAGCCCCTGCGCACCCCTCCCCCAGACACGGGACCCGGCTCACCTCGGGGTACCTGTCAGCCACCTGGCCCACGACACCCGTGGCCGCCTGCATCGTGTGGTAGCGGACGTCGTCGTGCTCTAGGTACTCCTGGAACCGCGACACCAGCAGCGAGCGGTCCTCCTCCGGAGACAGCAGGCCTTCCACCACCGACTGCGGGCCGGGCAGGGAGGTGAGCTCGGCGGGCCCACCTGGGGTGCCCGCCACGCCCCACAGCCTCCCCCGCCCCCCGGGGTAAAGGGTGTGGCAGAAGCAGCTCGTCCCGGAGCCACCTGCACCTGCAGCGAAGGCCCATCCCAGCTGTGCCCAGAGGTTTTTCAGCCCCCCCCCGACACCGTTGTGCCCCCACCTTGAAAAGCTGGCGAGGGAACAGATAGTTGCCCTCCCACTTGGGTTTCTCCAGGGGATGTGCTCCCTCCAGCTGTACGAACTTCATGAGCGTGCTGAGAGCCAGCTCCTGGGGAAAGCGGGCGAGGGAGTGGCTGAGGTGCCCGGACCACACATCACCTCCCCGGCACCTAAGTCTCCGTGCACCCAAGACAACGCTCCCCCACGCGCTGGGACACAGAACACCGGCTGCTAGGACGACCAGCAGACAGAAAACCAGACGTCCTCAGGTAAGCGCGGACACGCAGAAGCCTGAGGCCTCACCCCTGCCTGAGTGTGCGCAGCCTGGCGGCTGGGGGTGCAGGGAACGCGCAGAGTAGAGGCAAGGCCAACGACCTGACTCACCTTGACCTCAAAGGAGGGGTGGGCCAGAAGCTCCCGCAGGCGGTTACAGCAGCTATGGTACCTGTGTCTCATCCACACCTTGTACTTCCGCGTCGCCCCCTGGGACCCTGAGGCAGAGCAGGGTGGTCAGACCACACACACCAGGCTGGACGCAGCTCTCCCCCCTCCGCTCTTTGCGCAGCCCCACCCGCAAGTGAACGGAAACGGGTCACCGTGGCCCCAGACCTGGTGCGGGGTGGGAAACCCTCCTCGCCTCACTTCACCCCAAGACCTACACAACCAGCGGTGGGAACGCGTAACCCCGACTGCCCACGTTAAACAGGATCAGATGCTACAAGTGATCCCCAAAAAACAAACAGGCGCCTGGTGGCTCAGTCAATTGAGTGCCCAACTCCTGATTTCAGCTCAGGTCGTGATCTCAACATTCATCAGTTCAAACCCCGTGTCTGGCTCTGCACTGGTAACGTGGAGCCGGCTTAAAATTCCCTCTCTCCCCCTGTCTCTCTCTCTCTCAGTCCCTCCCCCGCTCACGCTCTTTCAAAATAAATAAAACAAAAACCCTGAAAAAGCGCAGCACGCTCCAACTTTGCTCTAAACAGACCACATACAGACTCTCTCACCCCAACCCTGAGCACAATGGTCCCTCCCCACGGGGAGCCCCGGCTGTGCCCTTCCCCTGACCCAAGGTAAGGCCGTGTGAGGTCGTCCCGTGTTGACAAAGTCTCCCTCCAGCCCTTCCAGAGACGAGGCCCTGGACCCGGCGCGTGCTGCGAGAGGCTCACCTGCCATGACCGTGTCCTCAGAGGGCAGCTGGCCCACAAACAGCTCTCCCCGCTCCAGCAGGGCCCCGAATAGGCGGCTGCACGCGCGCACAGCTTCCTGGGTCTCCTCCGGGTCCTCCGACTGCAGGGACACGGAGGTCGCAGGGGGCCGGCCCTCCCTCCTCACTCAGGGCCAATACGCTACCCTCCCACCGGACACCCCCTCCCCGACCTGGGAGCCCCGCGAGACGGGAGCAGACGCCCGGGAATCCCTTCGTCGGCCCGCGTGCGCGCCCCCTGCCAGGCCTCCGACCCGGGACCGGCCCCGGCGCCCCGCGCGCCCCCACCTGCAGCACGGCCAGGATGTCGAACACGGCGTTGGCCTCGCGGCGACTCGCCAGCACCGCCTCCAGCAGGCGGCCCAGCGCCCGGCGCGCGCCCCCGGGGCTGGGGTCCCGCTCCATGCCGCCGCCGCCGCCGCCGCCGCCCCACGCGGAACGCACGGACTCTCAAGCCACCGTCCGGCGCGCCCCTGACGTCACCGCCCCGCGCCGAGGCCTCCCTCACGACGTCCCCGCCCCGCGCCTCTGGCGTCATCGCCGCGCGTCTGGCCGAGAGGAGTGCGGC